AATATGTACATTTTGACACTGTAACTCTGACCACCTGATGGTTGCCACCATTTTTTTTTTTTCCATTTTCCTCGCCATGTGCTTAAAAAAACGTTAGTGCACTTCTAGGCAGATCAAATTAAGATAACATTTTTTTTCCTCCTTTCACTTAAGCATATTTGGACACTGTAAATGTGAATAAGTTGCTAGTACTTAAATAATTAGTACCCAAACTCATTGCCTTAGTTGACTTGAGATAGCCAAGTTAGGGGAACTTGTTCTCTGTGATCGCACAATACTTAGAATAACTTGATTTTTCTGAGTGAGCAATACTAAATGAATTAGTTCAACTGAGATATATGTCAATATATATCAGTTACAATACTAAATGAATTAGTTCAACTGAGATATATGTCAATATATATCAGTTACAATACTAAATGAATTAGTTCAAGTTACACATTGGACATATGTCAGCTGACATATATGTTAGTTGGCATGTGTCATGTATGTCAGCTGATCTATATTGACATATGTCAGTTGAACAAATTCATTTAGTATTGCTCACTCAGAAAAATCAAGTTATTCTAAGCACCGTGCACTCAAAATAAGCAAGTTGCACTAAGTTGGCTGGACTTAGTTCTTATTAATGCTTTTCCGCAGCAGTATCTCTGTTGGCCCCAAGGAGGCAGCAAGTTTCTTTCCACTCTGCGTCTATGCTGTTCATCAACATTCCCATGAGTCTGACATTTAGCCAGTTTATCTTTTTATAGAATATTTTCAGGAACTGTACTATGATCACAGCCCTCCATTTGAATCCTTTTATATATTTTCGGTATTTGCAAAGTCTTAACCTGCAGCTATGTTGGGACAATGATTAACAAATAAATAAGGTACGAGGAAAGCATGGCTTCATCAGTAATGGCAGCATTTATCGTTCTATAACTGTTGTCATTGTTTTATTTGTTTTAGTTTAGTGCCAAAGTGTTAGAGCTGGCCAGGAAACAGAGGATGAACACCGATGTCAGAAGGAACATCTTCTGCGTGCTTATGACCAGTGAAGATTACCTGGATGCATTTGAGAAGCTGTTGAGGTTTGTTTCGTCTCACATCTCTGTTTCTTTCTTCAGTTTTTGGAGTAGTTTAGCCCATTTGAAAGTTTTATTTATTTTTAATTTGCTATGTTTAAAGGATGGGTCTGAAGGACAAGCAGGAGAGAGAGATTGTTCATGTTCTGATGGACTGCTGTCTCCAAGAGAAAAACTTCAACGCCTTTTACGTCATACTGGGAGAGAAATTTTGCTCACATGACCGTCGCTTCCAGGTAGCCTTATTAGCAAAACCATGTAAGACATGTGCTGCTTGTTCAATCAATGGTTATGGTAGATTATACTGTAAATCCTTCTTATATTTTAGTTTAAAAGTCTCGTAAGTTTGCATAATCCGTTTAAAAGGGTTTATTATGGGATTTAATTACCTGGCACGGGCATATGACCACCCGGTCTCTCAAACTGTGTGTGATCTGTGTGTGGCCTGCAGTTCACCTCTGCAGTGTGGGAGCCTCTGACACCTCTGGCTTCTGATTTGACTCAAACTGTGATTACAAACAATGGCGTTGAGACCACACTTCCTACTTTGCTGTCATGTAGGCCAGCAGCTCATATCGGAAACTGGTGACCATTGTCCTCATCAAAGAGCTCCAGAACGGAGCTGGTGGGAATGTTTGCTTTTCACATGTAAACTGGGTCTCGATGAGAGGGTTATCTCTTTAGAGGAGTCGGTTATTTAAGGTGCTTAATTTGGTAATCACTGATGACAGTATTGCGGATATAGTGTTGCATCAATGAGCCAGACTTGTCTTTTATTTTAAAGTGATCTTGAGCAATAGTTCTCCGAGCTTTCTGGGGAATCTTTTGTCATTGGTTGCTTTTTCACTCATTTTCAGTCAAGTTCTTGTAAGTGTTTTTAAGCCACTTAAAACTTGCTTATGAATCATTCAAGCATAAAAAAAGCAGAAACGCATCATTTGTTCCCATTTCTTTGTCATTAGTAGAATTTACAGAAATGCCAAAGGTAACAGTTTTACAGGATTATAATAGTTTTCTTTTCGCACCGATGGGGTGAATCACAAAACGCTATTGGCCAAAAACTTAGGCATCATGTGCAGTGTGTCCTAAAAATTTAAGTAAACTGGACACGTGAATGACAAAAGAAGAAATGGCATTAAGAAAAAAACGATATACTGCAGATGAACAGTGTCTAAAAGGCATCTTCTTAAGAAAAAAAATGGTTTGGAGCTGGTTTTCAGTGGTGTTAGGGGTCATGTTAGATTTTGCTCCACTATACAGTACTATCTGGAAAGCATCTGATTGCTACCAGCTTCATTTCTCAGCATAAAAATGATCCCAAACACACTGTCAATGCAGAAAACGCATACCTAGATAACGTCCCACTGTGTGTTTTTCTATCGGTCGTAGATTGGCCTCCACAGCAGCAGCGTGGGTTCATCTTGACAGAAAAATAAAATAAAAGCCAGCTAATATCCAAAGAAGGGCTTTGAATGTTCTTCAAGAAGCCGGAAGGACTATTCCTGTTCTTTTACACAATACTATATGATATGTGTGTTTCTGGATTTAATTATTTCTTCAAACCCTCTCTCCTTTCTCATAGATGACTTTCCAGTTCAGCCTCTGGGACAAGTTCAGGGAGCTGCCCAACCTTTCCAGCAGCACCTTTAACAATCTGGTCCAGCTGGTCACCTGCTTCCTTCAGAGGAAATGCCTCTCACTCTCCATTCTCAAAGTAATTAATATTATGTATATATTACATGTATTTAGTTGATTTTACAGATTAAGTCTTTAAACCTATTCTTTGCATTAACCTCTGCTGTTTGTGCCTTTAGGTAATAGAGTTTGGGGAACTAGATAAGCCCACAGTGCGCTTCTTGCGTCAGGTGCTGACCAAACTGCTGAAAGAAACTGAGCCCGAGGAGCTGGCCAGCATATTTGGAAGGTGAGCTGCACAACATCAGGAGAGTGATGTCACACATAGCAGGGGATAGTTTAGGGTTTTCTCCATTTGATTTAGAAAGGTTGTCTCTGTAGAGTGCATGGAACTCTTTCTTCCTGTAAAGTCACCAGAGCTATGGTTTTCACATCAGTGCAGTCGGACATCACACAGAGTTTGTAGCCAGGAACTGCTGGTGCACCTCTGTTAAGAAAAACAAAATTAAGAACTGCAGCCATGACTAAAGCCCTGTGAGGCTGCACTGGGGCATAGCTGTGTTAGAGCTATACCACATGGCTGTACCATCCACCTTCTATAAACTGCTATTAGCTCACACCTTGAAAGTCAGTTGTGACTCTTTTTGTTTCCCTTCTGCCAGGATTTCAGGAATTCCCAAGCTAGGAATGCTGAGGGAGGGCTTGAAGCTTTTCATTGACCACTTCCTCCTGAAGAGCGTCCTGTCCCAGGGAGCACCAGAGAAAGCAGCATTGCTGTCAGAGCGTGCCCAACTCGCCACCAAAGCCATGGAGGCAAAAGAGACAAAGCTAAAACTGTAAAACGCAGAAACGCACACAGCAAAAACTCAAAATGTGGACTGTGATGAAAAAACAAAAAGAACTGGAACAACAGAAGACCTTTTAATACAAAAACACAAACATACTGTGTTACTTATAAAGGAAACAAGGAAATGAAGAAGATGTGGTTAAATCTACCAGTTTGCCTTGGTGTGTCTGTGTACAATAAAGAAAGATTTTTACATTTGAAAGTTATTGATTCCCTCAGGCACACACCAGCGTTTAAAGGGTAATCCACTGTAATAAATAATTACATAATGTTCATGCTCTTGTATATTTGTTATGAAAGAAAATGTCCTGTACCTTCATGTCAAAGAAAACCTCAATAAATTAACTTTCAACTCCTTTATGTGGAAAAAGAACTGTTTTGTGTTGGCGTAAGTCTGTCTATGTTTTCTTCAGAGACTGCCCTCGGGGAGGCAGTGTGCATCAAGAGTTAATATTGCACAGTTTGGTCACCTGGGTCTATTCTTCTGGGCTTTGCTGAGTCTATTTACACCTTCCACATGATAAAGCAACTTTTAATCTGGTCTTTTTCAGCCTTAAACGTGGCTGATTGCTGCATATTTGTGTATGTCTATCCTTTTGTGGATATTTGCTGTAGGAGCAGAGAGAACCGAGAGGTGTTTACACGCCTTAATGAAATGACCTGGAGCCATGAATCTGTCCTATACTGTTCGCTAGCTGACACCAGTGCCTCTCCGCATTGTAAGCATAGCAGCATCAATCTGCTAGATTTGATACTTGCTCCTATTAATTAGCTCCGCTGGTGTGGCCTGAATCAATCCAAGACTTCGGAGCAGTACCCTGAGGTCAGGAATCGGACACTAAGGTCACCCGGGGGAAATGTTGCGAGCTGTCTCAGGTAATTTTAGAGAGCGCAATTACTTCATCAATTCAGTCAGTTGAGAATTTTGGTGGAAAAGCTTGAGAATTTGGCTGCTGAGGTGGAGATAATGGGATGAATAGGCTCACTGTGCACTCCATACACTGGCTATTGTCTGCAACCATGAGCCGGAGAGTTTCCTTCAGCTTCACCTGGTGTGTGGGTCTGACCCTCAGCTGAACTTTGATTTAGTCTGCTAAAGCAAACAGCAGAAGATAACTAACAGATCCTTCAGTAATCCCTATACAAATGGCACATAATCAGTGAGACCCTGCTATAGATTAACGCTGATGACTGCGGAGGAAATGATAACGCGTCAAATCACCGCTAGCCCTGCTTTCTGGAAATAGAGCCATGCGTAAAAGCGCGCACACGAGGATTATTAAACTGCCTCAGAGGCCAAGTCGGATTAATTGAGATATACATAATATAATAAAATACGTGGTTCGTCTGAAAGAGGGTCAGGATATCAACACATTAGCAGTCGGTGAGATTTGAGGGTGTCCACTCATTTTCACCAAAAACTAGGCGCTGGATTATTTGGCCTGCACACACACACACACACACACATATATATATGATCTATGCTTACAATTTATAGCTGTTAGCTCATGGAATTTAGATGTTACACGGATTAGAATATATTCTTATTATTAAATTATTATTGCTCAAAATATTTGCACCAATACTGCCCATTTTCCACAAACGCGCATCCTGTGAGGTCAATAGTCAATTATTTATATTTTGTTAAGCTGAGTTTATGAGTTTGAATGATTTCAGTACTGAAAATAGTGCCTGAGCAGCCAAGTTTGTCGCTTAACACGCCTTTAAAACGCTTTATTAATACGAGCCCATTGCTAGTGTGGTGTGAAATGTTTCCTCCGTCTGACTGCCTCCTTGCTGTTTGCTCACACTGCACGTTTGCACAGATCTGACAGCGCTATTAACAGTAATTCCCATGACCCGACCTGTCAGAGCAAGGAGGAAAACACAAGCCTCTGTCCGGAAACACACTGCGAGCAAAATCATAAATCAGAGGGAGTGCGTTTGCAAGAAAGAAAATAGTTTTATATAGGAAAAAAAACCCAAAACACTTTATTTCACATTGTTTGCGAAGACGCTAAACAATAATTTAGCATGCAGATGTATTATAAGTAAGATGTATTATATGTACGTTTTATAAATACAGATAGAAAAATAAACATAACATTTTTCCAGTGTGATATGGCACCGAGGAAGTAAAACATCACAAAGAACAAAAATAAAAGAGCCACTATTAAGTGTAAGGGATATAGGATAGGATATAATTGAAAGATTATTGCTGATAAACTAACCATCACAGCAGGTGGATATTGCAAAATCCTGAGCCAGTTTACAGCGTTTGCATATAACCATGCAATAGGCTACGTCACAGTTTTACCTATAGCCGGGTGCTGCACGATATAAACCGCAAATCTTCTGCTTTATTGCTTGTTTATGACACGAGGGTCTAATCTTGACCTACATTTTATTATTTTCATAACAAAAACAAAAATCTCCACAATTCCAAGTAGGTGATTAGAGGTTGGATTACATGCATCTAACTGCATTTTACAGCGAAAGCCCCCCCAGAGTCACTAGAAATGGAAAACGCCGCCTTCGCCCTTTTGCTCCAAGCTTCAAGGCTGCGGACTTATGTCACTGTTGTGATTCCTCTCGTCGTCCGAAGAGCAGTCTGACGAGTTGTACAGGAAATTTTCGCCTTCGTCGTCGTCACTGTCCCTGAAATCTCTTATTCTGCCATTTTTTGAGTCCGTCTTGCTGTGATAATCCGACTGTTCGAGTCCGTCTGATTTCGCTTGGCCGCCCTTGGAACCTTTCTGCTTCTCGGCCTCCTGGGCGGCCTGCTCTTTTGCCTTCTTGCTTCTCTTCCACTTCATGCGTCTGTTCTGGAACCAGATTTTAACCTGGAAAAGGGCAGAATAAATGATTTAAACTGGTGTGAAGGAAACTTGGGCAACAAATCGTCAACTTCTCCCTATCCTTTAATTTTCTACCACACTCATTGTGCAATATTAGCCTATGCATGAACTCATAAAATTCTCCAAAAATACTAAAAATAGCACAGGAATGAAGGTGCTATCGGCGCGTAAAAGTCACCCGTGCGCCTGACATTGACCTTTTGGGTATTGCAGTCATCCTTCCCGCCTGAAATGTAATGCAGTGTTTCAAAAAATCTGTAGAATATAGTAAATATCAGCTTTAATCTATATATACTATATATATAATTATATATATATATATATATATATAATAATATTATATATATATATATATAGATATATATATTATCTATAGATTTTTCTTTAAAGTTAAAAAGATTTTTTAAGCGCGAATCTTCCATTCTGCGAGTTTATGGAAACCCAGTTGAAAAAATGAAGTTATCAAAAACTTAAGTTATCATTCATATTATGCTAGAAAATATTTTTTCATATCAATACTAAAACAACATTCTCATTGATATCATTCTGCATTCTTGTAATATTATATATATATATATATCATATATCATACATATTATATATATATATATATATATGATAAGTCATCATGTATTTTATATCGATAATTATGTGTGTGTGTGTGGTGGTGTGTGAGAGTGTGTGTGTGTGTGTGTGTGTGTGTGTGTGTATGTGTGTGTGCTGTCGTGCAGTCATGTTTTACCTGAGTTTCTGTCAGCATGAGGGAGGTGGCCACTTCAAAGCGCTTTGGTCTTGACAGGTACTTATTCAATTTGAACTGATGCTCCAGTTCCAGCAGCTGCTGACTCGTGAATGCAGTTCTTGGTCTTCGGCACTTTCCAAGTAAGTTGGACTGCGCCTGAGCTGCATGAATATATATATTAAAAAAAGAAGAAGTCAGCTTTCACACATTCAGCAATTTCTGTCATGCATTTTATGTAAAGCAAGCCAACATATTCAAATATTCACAATCATCACATTAAAACTGTTTGTGTTGTAGAGGATACTTTGAAAAGAAAAAGAGGAGTCGGCAGCATAGGCTATTTATTATGCGTCCTTGTTCTCTCAAACAGCAAGCTTGTCTCGCCATCAATACATCCACAGACAAGCTATTTGCCACCCAGTTTTGAGCAAATCTGTTAAAACGAGCAGAAACAAAAAGGCAGTATCTGGTGAGCAAATAGCATGTCGACTGTGGGTTTCACACTCCTCTGCCACTTTCCCACTGTCCATTATCTGTCCATTTTAGTTCCTCTATGAAAAAGCATCAGTGTGTCACGCACAGTTCCCTTCAGACGATAATATCTGATAGAAATTGTGCACCAGAAATTCCCAAATCTAACTTTTTTTCCAAGTTAAATCACATGTTATGGGCATCTAGGCCAGCATTATTTTTACTCTTCAAGATATTCTGTTAAACAAGATATAAAGCAGACTACACCCCAACCAAGGGCTGAATAATATTTTGGGGATTTACTCAAAGTGAGGGATTTGAAATTGCCAAAATATTGTGTCATGAAACTGCTACTCACAATTAAAGTCAGACATTTTGGGGAGCATCATCCCGGCCGTGGAGACCCGGAGCCAGTGGTCCAGCTGGAAGGTGCTGGCTGTCAGTTTAATGGAATCGCTGGTGTGGTGGTGATGAGAGCCGTGTGGATAGGAGTAGGACAGGGCAGGGTGTTGGCCTGTAAGCGCAGCAGCCGAGTAGGTGTACATGGGATGACCGTAGAGAGCCTGTGCTGGAATCCCTGCTGTGCTCTGTGGATGTAATCCAACCATGCTGTGCGGGCTGTTGAGGAAGCCCGGTTTGGGAATCAACCCGCAGGTGGGAATCCTCGGCGGAGACGGCGTGTCGGCGCGTAAAGAATCGGCATTGGTGGTCAGCTCCGCGGCTGCCACACTTCCAGACGATGGGATGGAGGAGGAGGAAGACAGGGAAGTGACAAGCGCCAGCGGCGAGGTCTGCGCCTTGGGTGTATCGACTGCTAAAAGTGCGTCAATGCGAAAGTTTTTGGATTTCTCCATCGGTGACCCGGTGCGCGTCCTTCTCGCCACTGCTGCTCAGACTGAAGGAGAAGCCACAGCCGTTTCCCCACCTCTCAAAAGTTATGATGGGATCCGGAGTGTGTGAGAGGAACTCCGTGTCACACTTAATTCCTGTCAGAAGGAGGCGATTGGTGCAGCCCTCTGGCAGGGGGCTGTCCGAAGCGTCACTGCGCACCCAACAAAGCCTCCCTGCTGTAAGCACGGCGCTGGCAGAGTTACTGTGTCCATAAAATATTGCCATTACGGAGGGAAAAAACGATGCAGACATTTTGAAATATTTTTCTGTTTTTGGTCAGCTGGATGTTAATTTTGCTTATGCGCAATTCTTCAGCAGCAGGTTTAGGCTGGCATGTTTCCAGTGTGACTATTTATAAAATACAGGACCTTGTTCGATTAGAAGTGAGCTGGTAGTATTGGTTTAACTTTGAAAGACAGCAAATATATATTTATATTTAAATATATTATTTCATTAGAAACCACGTATTAAAATCCCTGTTTTCTTAGAATTGAGCGAATACACGCATTACTACTGCAAGAGCAGATAAAAATAGAACAATTCCCCGTTTCCAGAGGTGAGCTCTGTCTTTGGGCCTGCATGCTTCATGGTTCATTTGAGGACGGGACATGGTTTAGCCGAAGCAGAACAAAACAAAACATACTTACGATAGCCGTGATAATAAGGGGGGATATTACGAAGCGCATAGGTCGAGTTGGATTGTGACGCCAACTCAATTTTCAGACCTTACACGTGAAGTGATTTGTGGCTGTCTTGACAACAGTGACCCATTAAATTCAGGGGGAAAAAACTGCATACGCAAAAGTGAGCCACATAGGCCAACAGGGAAATTTAAGTAAAAGCCCTCCTTCTGTCGCTCCAAAACCTGAAGGTGACTGACGCACAGCGACACGTTACAATGGCGCTATGCATCTGAATTAATTAGGTCCATGCGTCTCTGTTTGTAGCGTTTACGTTGTTGATTTTTATAACTTATTATTAATTGTAACCTTAAAAAATAGAATCCCTGAACTGTGACGAATAATACGGATGGTTTGATGTTTTTTAAAAAATCAACAAGGAGGCATCGACAAATTTTGCATTTGAAAGCCTTAAAATGTGATGAGGAGAGAGATGTAATCGGCCCGTGGCTCCGGGTGACGTGGGTCTAATAAGCCACTTAAAGTTAATGGAAGAGGAGGTCAAAATGAGAATTATTGACACCCCGTTGCCCTTAACTGGTCTACCAATAAAGCTGATTAGTTTTTGTCAATTCATCAGCTAACCGCGCTCCTGGGACGTTTATTTGCTCGGGGGAAATCAACAAGTCACCGGGTAGTTTTGAAGTAAAGGATCGCCATTTAATTGTGGACCTTGATGATCACGAGCAATTACAGAATGATAAGGGGGAGATTGATGTGGGTGTGTGGGACGCGGGCCTGCGTGGAAACGTGGAGGAGAGAGGAGGTATGACAGAGAGGAGACGATCAAATGCGCTTCGAGCATTTCTGCGAGAAAATGCGCAGATGTTGACGATGTGAAGATGTTGTACTAGAGTCTCGAATGTATTGACTTGTGAATATTTTACCAAAATGTTTCTGAAAACAGCGCATTAAAAAAATCTATCCAAATATCCGGTCCAGATGCCCACAGCAACTCTCGTTCAATCTGAGCAGGCATTAAAGAGGATGGTTTAAAATTATTATGATATTGCCATGGGTTTAATTAACATCTCCACCTCGGAATATTTAGCAGATGCGAGTTGCCGAAACACAAGTTTTCTTTTGCATATTCCTCAACGATTAAACGCACTTTATCAGCCTTCTGTCTGATTTTTTACAACAGCCGGACTCTTATTCTGCGCCTTGTCCCCCACCACGGGTTTAATTTCATTAAGGAGCCCACATGAATATTTCTATTAAAGCAGCGGTGAAATATGGAGCCATTTAGTATTGGCCTTCGCCGATCACGCAGATTTATAGCTCCTTTTCATCACATCCAGGAGAGAGAAAATTAATAAGGAGCCCAATGGAAACTGACCCTAAAACCCTTTTCTTTCCTGAAAGCTGTTAATTTGCTCCGTAATTACTTTCACAATTAACTAAAATACAAATCAAAGTGACAAATCGAGATAGTTTATATATTAATTACCTTTGGTAAATGTGTTCATTATGAAAAGGCGGTTTAAAGGAACCCGCCCTGTCTCTTTTAACGCAATAAATGCAGAATTCGCTCAAACTGGCAAAACCGGGAATTTTATACTGATTTTATACAATTTCCACGACATTTGTTTTCTATTTAAGGGAAAATCTTTGATGTCGGTGTCAGATATATCAGTGCAATTATGAGTGAGCACCAAGGATTCAACCCCTTTACTAAATTCGATATCGAGGTTTCAGACAAAAGTGTTACACGGTGAGCCTGAAGGCGCAGGCAATTTGTTGACATGTGCCAAAAGGGTAGTACTTCTATTATACACTACTATGCATTAACGGTCATATAGATATATTTTAGTACAATTATATCCATGTCCGACAATTATTGTCAGTGTTCACACTCATTATCCAGTCTAATGACGACAGGAAGCTTCTTATGACCTTTAATTCGTGATTGTTATTTTAACACAAACATCATAAATGATAATAATAAATATTAAAAAATAATAATAACATTAAAAATATTCATTATTCGATTATTTCTTTAACTTAAATCTAATTTATTTAATTTCGGATTTCGGATTTGGCGTCTCCCTGCACAATTTTAATACAACATCATCCCTTTAAGTCAATTCATGCGACCTATATAGTTTGTCTTTAACGGCTCTCATAAATACCTCAATCTCAGACTGCATGCGCACTTTTCAAAACCACCACAAAGCTACTGTGCCGTTTTATGAAATGTTCAGAGTGGGGAGGTTTTTGCTCTTTGTTTATTAAAACAATGATGACATTCAGAGTCTTGCGTGTCCCTTTTACACGTTCTGTTGACTCTGTTAGGGGAATTGAATCATATGGTATTATTATCATTAATAATCATCGACAGTGACCTTTTGTGTATTAAAGTTATCTTTCACCTTCCACACGAAATTTGTCAGACTTTCAAAGAAATCAGCTGAATCAAAAAGTTTGTCTAAATATATGAAAGGTCCTCAAAGCAGAATTTCCATTCTAAATGGAAAAATTAGGTTTCACTACAATTTTTAATTTAAATGCTTAAAATATTTTTTTCTCCTCATATCAAATGTGCAACACTTGGTTTTTAATATCAAAAAAATGTGTGCATTTCAACAGTTTGACCAAAAAACCCAAAAAACAAATCTGATCTGTGTGCCATGTGCGCAGAATTTTATCTGTTGACTCTACTAAAAGAATCTAATCTTATTATTATTATTATGAATGTTAGGCTGACATTTTCAGTAATGTTAGCCTTTCTGATTATTGAAAGCACCGATATTGGAAAAAAAACAGGTGTGAGATCACAGAGGTACAGAGTGTAGAAGCAACACGACCTCTGAACCGCATTCACAAAAATCATGTTTGTGTAAAACTAATTTGAGTATTTTTGAGAACAAAAGGTATTTCTTCAAAAATAAATAAGATTAAAAAAGGTGCATGCCAAATTACTGGAAATTGTTGTCAACATTGTTAATTAAATGTACTTTTCCTGTAGAAAATCTACTTTTCCGGGAGTTCGTTTGAGCTCAGATAAAAATAAGCACAGTACAGTTTCAATGACCAATCATGCAGTAACACTATTACTAGAATAGCAGCAGGGCTGAGGTCATCAGAAGCCTATATATGAACCAAAAATAAAATTCAAAGCAGAACTCTCCTCTGGTTTTAATTCTGCTTTCTCTATATCAATGGTAAGGATAACTTAAGGATAAAAAGTATATATTTATTAACATTGAACTATTCATTTCCTCTTTAATGATAAAATTCCTGAAAAGTCCAGAGAGTTCACAGAAAAACTGAAATGTAAGTATCTTTATTTTTATCACATTTTCCATGTGTTTCCAAAAGTCTTTTTTCCCCTCCCCTCTTCATGTATGTACAAGTCCCGGAGAAAAAAACAAAACAAAACAGGATAAAGTCAACAAATGTATAAATATCTAACCAAAAAACCAAAAAACAAACATTTATTTTGGTGTTTCTGAAGCCCATTGAGCCAAACTGGCGATCGACACAGGACCACTCACAGGCAACTAATACAAACAGTCTTTTAATATATGCAGACATCCTGAGGTCTAACAGGAACAAAACACACCTAAACTAAATCAGGATAACGACGCAAGAGAAGTAAGCTTAAAAATACACAACAGACAAAGAATGACCAAAATAAAACAGGAAATAAACAAATATGAAGACAAATAATTTATAATAAGGAGAAAGGAGGCAGGATAACTGAAATAAAAAATATAAACAAACTAAAACCATGAAAATCATGCAGAACTATTAAAACAAAAGCTCAAGAATAACACATGGAAAGCAAGTCCACAGCTTTAAAACACTGTGTCAAAGAGATCCAAGGACCATGACAGCCTCACTGTTAGTACTGTGTCAGGGTATACCACACCTTTCACCCAGCGACAGCTGGGATAGACTCCAACACCTCTTGAATGAGATAAGTGGATGATTTATGTAGTTCAGAGCAGGTATTACAATATAAACACAACACCTGATGAAATCAGTTGACTCACAGACATCCCAGATATAAATAAACATGTGCATCAATGCCTCATCAGGCTGGTTTTGTTAACAGATATGACCAAACTCACAAAGACTAACACTCAGGATATTTCCTCTTTGATCTTTTTGCCCTCAGGGTTCCTCAGGCTTCAGTGACCTGCTTCATGAAGCTAGTCTGAAGTCAGTTAATTCACTCCTTAAAAATTTTCTTCACTTTTTAAAATGAACTTTTTTCAGCTATTATTCTATTGCACGTGATATCATTTACCATGTAGTTGTCTGCTTTCAGTTGTTTTGGTTGCCATTAGAGGTCACCCCAACATCTCACCCCATCCCTAGTATCTTTCATCACACTGACCCTCTGCATGCCTTCCTCTTTTCC